TATTTTAAAGTGGTGGAAAAAAATTCTCCTTAATTTCTCATCCTTTCTTAAATGGCTCGTAATGTATTGCGGTTCCTATTTTTACTATTTCCTCATAATCGACATTTAGCACTAGAGGAAGAGTTCTTGACTCGCTTTAGGAGTTCTTTAACTCCTACCTTGGTGGAATATGTCATATATGCTCAAGATTGTATTAAAAATTCATCGACACCAATTATTATTGAAGAAAATTTGCTAGATGTTTAGAAAATACAAGTTGATAATTTCTATAACTCCATCTTTTCATTTGTTATTTGTATGCTCTATAATAATGTTAAAGTGTTAATTTTTTTTATCTTGCATTTTTCGGATTTACCAATTGCCATTACCACTAATACAAATGTTTGATGGATTGATGGTGTTTTAGCATTTTGGATAACATGCGTAAGTTACTCGGTTTCTAATTTTGATTCCGTTCTTGGTTGGAATAAGCTAATGGTTATGTGATGCAAAAGTGTGTGTGTATATATATATGTTAATGGAATATTTTGATTCCGTCTAGATTTACCTATTGCACCACTGCCGCAAGCTCGCAACATCGCCTAGGTAGCCATGTTTGCGAACTGCTATGAAGAGTGATCATGTTTTCGTGATGACGACTCAATAGCCAAGATTTTAGCTATACTAGTTTTTATCCTAAAAAAACTAGTGATTGGGTTTCTAGTTGCTATGTTGATCTTTAACACTACTACAACTATGGAAGTTTCATAGTGCAACATATAAGGTGCTTTTGATTTGTTTTGTGTACGTCTAGTCACGAAGCCAAGCATGAGATATCCGTGCGCATTAAGGTATTGCAATTATCGTTGAATGATAGGCTTTAGATGGTTATGCTAATTGATTTTAATGCCACGGATGTGATCTTTAGCATGCTCGTATTTTTTGCATGGGTTTAGATGGTCATTTCCTTAGCTATGGTTGGCCTAATATGTGGTAGATAATCTGTGAAAAAATTGTAGTGAAACCTCACATAGAATGTTGCATAAGTTGATCAATTTCTATGTAGATATAGTATATTAGTTTGATAGTTTGTTCCTGAGAAGCTATGGATTTCCTTCATATTTTTCTATTTTGTTTTCTTGATATTTTTATTTAAAGGATAAAAAAATGGCTTCCATGGAAACATTTTTTTCTCTCACATGGAGATCCAAAGAACCTATTGTTAATTCTTGTTATTTCTACTAAGTAGAATCGGCATATGAATGAAATTTTTTTTTTTTACAAAAAAATATTTTGGTTAAAATCAAAATTTTATGAAACCAAATCGAAATAATTTGGTTTGAAAGCAAATTTATCAAATTTATGTGGATTCGGTTTCGATTTTTCTTAATTTGATTAACTAAAAACCAAATTGAATTATACAAAACCAAATAATTTAACAGTTTGCTCACCCTTACCCTACAGTTACTGTGCTTTTTGGGCCATGGAAAGAAGAATAATGTAAGTGGGCTTGGAGAACAGTGTTGTAGGTCACTCAAAAACTAAAACGGGAATGTATGGACTAAACCGTTTTACGTGCCTCTTCTGTTTGGGCTCTATACTCAATGCTTTTTGGGCTTTTATATGCCTTTGAGCTCTAAACCAAGTCAAATAATTGTACGTTTTTTAATGTCTATCAAATTATTGCTCTTCCAATAAATGAATTAAAAAGAGGATCTCAAACGGTAGGATTGGAGCATGCTTGCTTTTGCAAGAAAGACATCTGGGGCTTGATTCCACCAGCATCAGCTAAGTTCAAGTGTATTTGTAGTTTTTGCAATATCATGATCATTTTAACAACATAATTGACAATTCCAATGAGTGAGATAAAAATGCTAAAGCTCATTGCTTATAAAGCATTCTGCATTATAGGTCAAAAGGAAAAAAATCTTTATTTTTTTTTAATTTAACTCTCCAATGTTTTTTTATATATAATTAAGTTTTTTTTTATCTCGTTAACTAATCTCAAACAATGAGAGATATGTGAAACCATTCAAATAATAATATATATTCCCAAAATTCTAAATAAAAAATATATTATTGCATTATAGTTTTACATATCTTTTACATGTGTCTAAAGTAATCTAAAATTAATTAATGAGACGAAATGAATTGTAAATAAAAATATTAGGAGTACAAATGAAAAAAAAAAGAAAACTAAAAACTTTTTTCTTATTGACTAATAATTCAGAATATTTTATAAGTAGTTATCCAAAATACCAATATAAATAAAATGCAGATGGTAATTGTCTTTTCAATTATATTATTTTTATAAGATATTAAAAGATATCTTTGGATCAACTGAAATTACATTTCTTCCCTATACGATTAGACCATCCAAATGATCTAACCAACCCATGCCAGCATCATAGTATCCCTCGATAACACTAAATGTTCATTCGGCTACTTAATTGGATAACTTTGGATGGAACGTCACTGGAGGACCCTTCTTTTACTTTCCAGTTTCACAGAACCTACCATTCAACGGTCACCTCATAACGTTATGATGCTGCTAGAACGGAAAGCAAAGCTGAGCTTTATCGTTAATAAATGCCATTTGTCAACGTACCCTGAAAACGGGTGGTCTCACCCAAAGGACGAAAGAAAAGGAAAAGGCAGAAACCCCACGCGGCATTCAAGAATCAAACCAGCCCTCGTCTTGTTTTTTATCTTTCTTTTCACCTTTTGGCCAGTCTCCTGGCTGCAATCACGGTTTGAGTTGATATGTCTGAAATAATCTCATTCTCAAGTTTGTATCATGTATGCGTTTTTGAATTCCAAGGACTTTTTTAAAAATAAGATATGAATATACATACTAAAGACCATTCAAAAAGTGAAAGTAAATTTGAACAACTACATAAATAAGAATGATGTAAATTCGAAAATTTTATTTTCTTTTGTTGGATTAACAGTAGACGAATAATCAGATAAAAATATGGTTAAAAACCAAATTTCTAGCAGCTTATTTCTTGATTCAGAGCTAAATTAACAGTATAATGTTAATTCATGGAATTTGGTGCTAATGGTTTTTAACCACTTGATTAATCTCATCATCCACGCACTCGAGTGTCTCCAGATTCTAAGTCCTTCGATGGGAGATAGTTCAAGTTTCAATGCCACATAAATCCGTTGATATGGTCATGGGTCCACTGTTTTTCAAAATCAAGAGCCGCCGTATCACAACATTAAACAGGGGTAAAATACAGGAAAACCGTCAGTTCCTTCTTTGCCCATACAACGAGGTAAAATACAGAAAAACCCCATCGGCCTTGGTAAAATATGTACGCGATAACCATAAAATATTGATCAAAATTTTCATTTCAGTCTCTTTTACTTTAATTTTGTTAATGTGAATTCGTATATATTTTTAAAAAACAATAAAGTAAATTTTATACGTGGTAAAAAAAGATACATTTGGTAGAGAAGGTACATATATAAATACATTTACTATTAATGAATTTATAGGTGCTTGTTTTTTGAAAATAATTACATTTTAAGTATACTAACTTTTAATATTTTCTCAATTAAATATATAAATTTTAATTTTTTTATTTGAGTATAATAATTTTTTCAAAACTACCAATTAAATATTATCTTTAATTTTTTTTATTAATCGATTATGTATTGTCCCGTTATTCTTAAAATACTAAATTATGATGTGAATTTTAATTTTTTTAGATTAAGGACATCATTTTTTTTAAAACTACCAATCAAGTATTTTCATCAATTTTTTCTATTAATTGATGACATGTCTGAATATTAAATTATATATATTTTTCTTTTTTGTTGTAAAAAACTTTCTTCTTAAATTATTCTATCATTTTAAATTTTAAAAAATAATTAAAAAAATAAATTTTAGTTATAAAATCTCAAACTAAACTTAGTTAGACTTACTGTAAAAAAAAAAAAAAAAAACCAGTTAGGTTTTTGGCTGAAAACTAAAGAAAACACAAACGAAAGATTTTTCATCAAGAAAATTCATTTGTGTTTTTTTTTTTTAATTTTCACTCTTAAACCCCAATTATTTTTTTAAACCGTAACCTAACTGAGTTTAGTTTGAAACTTTATAGATAAAAAATAATATTTTTAATCATTTATCAAATTTTAAAATGATAAAATAATTTAGAGAGAAAGTTTCTTTCAACAAAAAGAAAGTAAAATTATAATTTTATATTTAAACATGTAATTAATTAATAAAGAAATTGATGAAAGTATTTTATTAACAATTTTGAAAAAATTGATGTATTAAAAAAAATGCATATACTCGAATGAGAAAAATAATAAAATTATAATGTTGTATTTTGAAAATAATAGATATATCATCTCGTTATCGAAAAAAATAATACAAGTATTTGATTTATATTTTTGAAAAAAAAATATATTCAAATGAAAAAAGTTAAAATTCATATATTTTATAGAGAAAAAATTAAAAATTGATGTATATATAATGTAATTATCCCTCCTACTTCGGGATGATTTTTATTTTTGAATCCTACCTCTAATAATGTAACACAACATAAATAAATAAACTTACTATTATTGAGTTGTTGGTTCAAGTTATGAATTCATTTCTGTTCTATCATTTTTAATTAGAATCAATAGAAAAATATGAGAAAATTATTTTAATCTATCGATTTATCAATATATAATCTCTACAATCTAACAGGAGAATACAATAAAATAAAATATGAGGAGAGAGGACACCGTGGTTGAAACCCGAAAAAGAAAAAAGTAAAAATAAATATGCTAAAATCATTATAATTCTCAAGGGCTTTTGAGTAAATTCAACACCTAATAAACTCTAACGTATACCTTACCTATCTTTTTCTTTCCCCCTCACAGTCCCTCCCTCTTTCTACTGTCTTAAAACTCTGTACATTTGCTCTCACTTTACAACCATCATCATTTTCTCTTAGCCCTCTGTCTGTAGTTCAAAACTGAAAGCAGTAAGTGATTCTACCTAGGTTTTTGAAGTTGAAGCGATGGAGACCGAAATGAGCGAATCGGGTTCGGGCTCGAAAATTTTGGGTCAAGAAAACGGGTCTGGTTCCGGGAGTATGAGAGCGGAGATTGATACATCGGCCCCGTTTGAGTCAGTTAAAGAAGCAGCGAGTCGGTTCGGTGGAATCGGTTTCTGGAAACCCTCTCAACAAAAATCAGAGGTTCCCCTCTCTCACTCTCTCTATGAAATTGGGGTTTTGCTTTTCTGGAAGAATTTGTGCTGCATTTTCTTTAAACGTCTTTTTTATACATAATTTTTCTAAGGAAATGTGTTTTGAATGTCAGAAGTTTCAAGTTTGATAATTTAGGAATATATATATATATATATATATATATATATATATATATCAAAATTGTTAGGAAACTATGAGGTTGTTGAAAATTGTGGATTACTGTGTTGGACTTGCAAAATTTATGGACAGATTTAAATGTTGCTATTATGTTTCCTGTTGTTTACAAGACTGTACGTGGCAAATTTAACAACATAAGATGATCTGTAGAATTCTGAATTTTTGTCTGAGAGCTGTTATTTTTTCGTTTTATTAGAACTTGAATTGGGTTCCTGTGTGGGGTTGCTACAGTTACCTTGACATTGGTGTCAGATTTGGAATCAACTTAATTTGCTAGGTAGCTACAGATGAGAAAGTCGGAGCAGTATTCATTTTCCAATTGTATCTTGTTGTTGAGAGATTTGGTAAAGGGAATTAAGTACATCATTGATGCATTCATGCATTGAGATATTATATCTATGATATATTACTCAGCATGGAACTCTTAATTATGCATTTGCATTGACAACAAACAGAAGACACAAGGTGCGCTTACCTTTTGTGTTCATGCTGGTTTAGTTTCCTTCTGCAGTGTTTGACTGCCTTATAATGAGATTTGCTTCTTTTTTTTTTTTTTTTCCTTTTCCTATTCAATATCGGCAGGACTTTGAAGTTATTGATATTGCAAAAGTGGAAGAACAAGCAGCACTGCTGGAAAAAGACCTGTTTGTGAAAGAAAGGGAAACACTAGATGTTTTAAAAGAATTAGAAACTACAAAAGCAATTGTTGAAGAGCTTAAGTTAAAGCTACAGAAGCAAGCAACTGAAGTTGATGCAACCCTAGAGTCAAGAGATGATAGAAATGAGACTTCTAATTTTGGTGAAGAAAAGAAGGATAACCTTGAGAAACTCAAGGGCGATCATCAGAATTTGATGGGAGGTTTGAGCTCATTGCCTTCTTCAGCTCCTGGCTTGATTTTAATGGAACTCAAACAGGCCAAGTTGAACCTTTCTAGAACTACTAATGATCTTGCTGACACTCGAACTTCTGTTGAACTACTTAACAAGAAATTAGAGAAGGAAAGAATTTCACTTGAAAAGACTCGTGAGAGGTTGACCCTGAATTCCTCAAAGATATCATCTCTTGAGGAAGAACTGAACCAGACAAAACAAAAGCTTCAACTGGCAAAAGATGCTGAAATGAATAGTGTTTCTGATAATCCTTTGGCTATTTCAAGGGAGCTTCAGCGACTGAGTTCTGAGGCAGAGCAGTTCAGGAAAATGGGAGATGCAGCGAAATCCGAAGTTTTGAGAACTATATCTGAGATTGAACAAACAAAAAGTAGGATAAAATCAGCGGAGATCAGTTTGATTGCTGCAAGAAAAATGAAGCAAGCAGCTAGAGCAGCAGAAGCTGTTGCTCTTGCAGAGATCAAGGCCTTGTCAAGCCATGAGAACTCATCCGGAAACGCCATACAAAAACCTGAAGGAGTAACTCTTACTTTTGAAGAGTACTCGTCGCTAACCTTCAAAGCTAGAGAAGCTGAGGAACTTTCCAAGACTAAGGTAGTAGATGCCATGCTTCAAGTTGACGAAGCAAATGTTTCAAAGAAGGAAGTCTTGAAGAAAGTGGAGGAAGCCACAGCAGAAGTCAAAACCAGCAAGAAGGCCTTGGAAGAAGCACTAAGCAGAGTTGAAGCTGCAAATAAGGAAAAGCTGGCAGTTGAAGAGGCCCTGCGCAAGTGGAGATCCGAGCATGGGCAGAAAAGACGCTCCATCCACAACTCTACTAAGTTTAAAAACTCTCACCCATCTCACCATCGGAGAGATTCTCGCTTGCTCGATGTGAATGGACTGAACCTAGTAAGTGATGGATCGATGCCAGTTTTAAAGCCGACCCTATCAATAGGGCAAATACTTAGCAGGAAGCTACTTTTGCCTGAAGAGTTTGAGACAGGGGCAATGGCAGAAAAGGGTACTGTGAAACGAAAGGTGTCATTGGGTCAAATGCTTGGTAAACAAAATGGTGATGTACCCTCAAGTTGGAAGGTTGATAAGGAGAACTGTCAGAAGCAGTTTTCTGGAAAGAGAAAGAAGTTTGGATTTGCTCGGTTCTCACTTCTATTGACAAAGCAAAGCAAGAAAAAGAAGAAGCCAACTCCAAACTTGAGGTAATCCAATGCTTGGTTCCTTTGGTTTGCGTCAGCACTAACGTCAAATTTCTTTGTTTGTATTACTATTACTCCCATGCTCCTGCTTCTTAGTGTTCCTGGTGTTACTCATGTAGTTGTTTATGTTATGTATTTATCCTTAAGATGGTTGCTGTATGATATTATGAATTTCTTGAACCTTCTAAGACCGGCAGCCAGCCGGAATGTCAATGCTTATATGTTACTGCTTGCGATTTGATTACATCCCCTTAAAATGGCTGACTGGTGGACAGATGCCAATTGGCTCTAGAACCTAAATCTTGAGGATCAAAATCCTCTCAAAGTAATAACTTCGAGATCCTCTTGATCATCGCATCCGGTCATGTTTTTGAGCAATGACTCCACTGTTTCGAGGTTAAAATGGAGCACCTAAGGCTAAGAGACTCTATGCTTAAAAACAAATGGATTGGGGCAAAAGGCATATCAATTTTTAGACCTGTAATCACTACGGAAAACTACACTTACAATGGTTGTCCATTGACGGTTGATTAGTAGCAAAGCAAGCATAGATGCGAAGACTTTGTTGGTAATCTAATGGTGGCTTTCTTTCCCCCAGAAGACAGTCTCAGATTTACGATCCACTTTGATTATCAATTTTTTTTTTAATTGTGGTTATTGGTCTTGTAAAGAATGCAACCCTAGTTTACTCGAAAAAACGATGAGGTAAATTGTATGTTCAACCCATTTTATTGGCTTCACAATGACTACTTCCAGTTTTTGGTTTATAAACTACATCAAAATCAAGTTCCTTCGTGATGAGGATATCCGCAATGGACTCGTCACTTTTGATCTTCCCTAGAAACCGAATTTTGATGATAACATTTAGAAAAAACCCATGCTAAGCCTCACTTAAAGAACCTCATCAGTCGCCTTGGATGAGCATGTGAAACAAGTGTGCAAATTGCAAATAAACTGCTAGTGTTTTTACTCAATTATTTCCTTGACAATGAAATTGATTAATGATTAATAAATATCCCTTTTGTTTGCTAGTGAAGCTACGAGTAAATTATAAATAAGTCTTTCTCGTTTTAATTTATCGGTTTCAAAATCCAATTATTTAGTCCTCTTTATTATTTTTAATTTATTTTAATTTTTATTTTAAGAAATATAAAAGAAAAAATAAGTAAAAATTGTAGAAAGATTGTTGAGAAGATGATACATTTTATAAAATAAAAAATATTAAATTAATTATGATCAATATTAATTAAAATGGTTAAATAATTGAGTTTTGAAATTAAGGAGATTAATTAGTTCGTTTCTAAAAAAGGGAAGGACTAATTTATAATTTACTCGGAAAACTACACCATAAAATCTGTGAAAAAAAACAAAAAGAAATAAAGAAGAAGAAGATAATCATTAAAACAAAATAAAATATCTTCCAACTCCCAATTAATTAGGTGGGAATATCCTTTCCTTTCCTTCCCATAACCATTGGTTCCACTTTCCATCACATAGCCAACCATAGTCAAAATTTTGTTATCCATTAACATTTCACCACATCAGCATCTCTCTCCACCACGTCTCTACTCCTCCATTCCCATAGCAACACGTGGACACCATAAACATTTAATTTGTTCCTCATCACAGAAGATCATGATTCATCGCATTAAATTAAGCGCCAGCTAGAAATCCATCCCCGATTCTTCCTTTTGGCTTACCTGACACTCAAATTTCAAGAGAAATCAGTTTCCTTTACATCTGCTTCTCTCTCTCTCTCTCTCTTTTCAATTCCATCGATCAAAATTCTCTCAGCGCCGGCGAAATTCTGACAAGGTTAACCTGCCTTTTTATAGTAATAATAATATCTCGATTTTCTATTACTCGTGCTGGTACCCAATTCCACCAGAATTCTAGCTACCAAACATATCTTGAGGTTTTGTCTCGTATGATTTTTTTTTTAATCATTCTTATGTCAATTATTTTTATTTTTTAGTTTTAGTTTTGAATAGCTTATTTGAATTCAGTTTTTTTCCCTACAATAAATATTTATTTTGTTAATTATTTTTTATCTTTGACTTTTATTATCTGATTGTTTGAATCAGAAATAATCTTTTTTTTTTTTTTTTACTTCATTATGCTGTTTTTTTTTAATATACTTATTTAAGGTCTAATCATCAGTTTTCTGCTCTGAGATTGCAAACTTGCTAATGGAAGTGTGAAGTTATTGTTAGGTTAAAACAAATTAATTATTAGTAGATTTCTAAGCTAATACTAGCTTTGAAGCGGCTAATCGGCAGTTAATTAGCCAGCACAAGATGCAAATTATCACAGAAAAGCAGAAAAATAGAAGATTAGCTCTATTATCTATTAGCTTGATACTCAATCATGGCATCTGTCAAACTTGCAATTTGTGGTGCTTTAAGATACTTGTATCAAGGATGAAACAGATTTTATGTAATCGCTTGTTGTACCAAAATGGGGTTATTAAGGTGTTGCGTTGTAGTATCATTGTTGACTCTCTCAAGATCGTGTTTAGTTGTAAAATCGTAATGACGATGGTGAATTTAAATTCTCCTAGCTGTCATGCTACTGAAAAGTTGTTGTGAAGAAGAATGCTCGTGTTATGATAATTCTCCTGAAGTTAATAGGTTTATGTAGAGTCTGCCTCTGCATAATGCTTGATGTTGGACTAGAGCTAGTCATAAATGCTTTTAATCGTGAATGCTAATTTGATAGATAGTGTGTAAAAGGAATGCGATTTTACAGGGAATTGTGAAAGCAAGTAAATATTACCAGGATATTGTAAGACAGAATTCCAAATCATAAAAATATGGATCGAATATATTTCCTTGCCGTGTAAAATCTTCTTAGCAACTGCCCGCCAGATTTAAAGTAGTTGGGCCTTTTGAATTTTATATCTTTGAAATATCTCAGTGCTGTTTTTTCCATGTGTCTGCGTGATTATGTTTTTCTCTCTTATGGTCATCAATTTTGTTTGAAATTTTCTTGTTAATTCTTGGAAAGAATTTCCTTTTGGTATTAATTCAATGTAAGTTCAGGTTATCATGGACGTGAGAATTGGGATATTATTTCTTCTTGCTGTGTGTGCTGCTACTGGTTCCACTGCTGCTCGACAAATGGCAGTGACGACCACAGAAACTTATGATATATCAAGTAATCTCTTCACCCTTTTTGTATACTAAATAATAGAATCTTTTGCAATTTTCTAGACCTGCGAACTGGCTGGTTTCGCGATATTTATTTGAAACTAGTGCTAGCCGCACATTGGGACTTTATAGATTGTAGGGAATTGAGTTTGAAGTGAAAAGTTTTAGATTGTAGGGTAAAGCCTAAACAGTTTAGACAACTATGTTGCCTGCCTTTCATACTGCACCGTGTCAGAAAGACATGATTAATGTCACTGTCTTCAAGGCAATGGATGCTGGCTGTAACTATAGCCATTCTTCTTGATATAACAGGTCCCTCGAAAGTGATCACTTTTTTGGGACCTTATTCTCACTTGTATTTAGAAGCAAAAATTTTGGGATCCTTGAGTTTTGATATTTGCCAAAGTCATGCCCTTGTATGGTCATAGATGAGTAGATCTAAAACAACTTTCCCATTTAAAGATGCTTCAAACCTGTGGCATCCAATCAGCTGTCCTTTCTGGTTGGAAAAGTAATTTGCTTTTTTTAGGATTGATGTGAAACTCCTTAATTCTGATGTTGTGCTTCGTTGTTCAGCTATACAAATGAAAAACCAGAAGCAAGAAAATGAAATCCAAACTTCAAACAATGTTACCAGGAAAGATGAGGTGTGCACCTTGTGTGAGGAGTTTGCTACCCAGGCACTTGATTACCTGGCTGAAAACAAAACCCAGATTGAAATTCTTGAAAAGCTTCACAAATCCTGTTCTCGGTTGACTACCTTCGAGCAAGAGGTAACCTTTAGTTTTTTTGGCTGATGATTTTTGGATGTTGAATTGGAAACAGAAATTTTGGCCCTTCACCTCTTTCCATCTATTGTGGCTACCATCAGTTTTTCTCAGCAAGATTTTGTCTGGTTTGCAAATTGAATTGCATGTTGGTCTAAATTGTGTATCTGTTTATATATAATTCTGGGCATCCACTTTGGTGGCTTTGGTGGAGCAGCAAGTGTGGAGGTGCATATTCTAGCAGAGAGAATTTGTTTGAAAGGCAGGCAGACCTGAATGGATTGGTAGAGTGTTATTATTATGCCGATTTGCTGTAAGCAATAATGAGCATGTTATATGTCTATACTAGTCTTTTACCTATTGTGGTTACACCAAGTGGAGTCCTAGGATGGAAAATTTGGAAATGGATGCTCTTATGATATTGACTTGTGGTTTCAGCCTGTGACTTTTATTATTGCGCCTAGCCGTTTTATATCATGCTGTATATATAAGTGGCTTAACATGTGAAAATGTACATGTTCTTCTTACAATCTTCATACTCGAGTGAATCCTTTATTATATTCTTTTAAAGCTTGACATGATCTGTTTGGACATTTCTTGTGGTAAAAATGCATAAATGGCATTAATTTTTATCTAAAATTTTATCATCAAAATAACTTCCTGTACTTGGATACAGGGTAACTAATTTGATACTTGATAGTTTGTTTAAATGGTCAGCATGCTACCACAAGTGCCAATTGAATAATTATAGCGTAAATGCAGAGATTGTTAATTAACTTGAATACTTGATACAGTTAATGATTGCAGAGATTGTTGTGTCATGCGATGTGAATCTTGATGGTGTAAATGCATGCACTGCAAAATTCTATTTCTAGGTGTATGCTTGATACTGTCTAAAATGACTAAATCCACCAGATATGGTTACTTAGTGGACCGGTGGTGGAACTCTGGCTATGGAGAAGCTTGTAAATCATTTCGTTAATCTTAAAATGCTTGACTACTTAAGCATGTTACTTTACCAATTCTAAATGCTTTATGTTTCTCTTTGCACAGTGCATCACTTTGGTGGACTACTATTCTTCCGTCTTCTTTTCATACGTTTCTAAATTGCAATCTGAAGATTTCTGTCGCAAATTCAATCTCTGTGATGAAATGGAAATCTTCTCCGTCAAACGCCATGAGGATAGGTGTACCATTTGCCAACGTGCTATTTCAGAAGTATTGGTCAAGTTGAAAGATCCTGACACACAGGTTTGCTTTTGACTGTTGGCTAGCCGTAAGGAATGGTGCTGATAAACTATATTTGGTATTGCTGCTGCATTATTTGGATCGAATTAGTTAATCGATTACCCGTGTTAGATCATTGTTTTCTGGATCAGTGACCAACCAAAGATCAAAAGGCACCATTTGCCTGACTTATTAGCAATAAATAACTGACAGCTGTTGATATCATATCCTCTGAAACGCCTGTCCTGTCCAGAAGACCAAGAGAAAAAGGAAATAGAACTTTCTTCCTCTTCCTTTTTATATATTTGGGAAACTGAACAGTAAGATAATCAAATTATCGCCTCATTGAGATATAGAGTGCTATTAATTTGTATATTGAAGGAAATCTATATTATAATCCTATGTTTTCTCTGTTTATTTGCTTACTTTTCATCATGTATGATGCTTGTATTGCAGCACTTTGCCAATTAAGCAACCTTTGATTATTCTTTCTTTTTTTCAGCTGGAAATACTTGAGTTACTTTTGAAGGCATGCAACTCCATGGATAATTACGCTCAAAAGGTGAGAACAATACTCTGGAATTTAAGATGAAATGTTTAAATTATTACACTTTAATTCAATTATAATTCAGAAGATCACTTTAGTTGAAATGATTATAACAGATAGCCGCCTATTTAATTTGTCACCTTTTATTTACATGATAGTCGTGATCCTCATTGATTGATAAATTGCAGTCTATACTCATGCTTAATGGTTTGTATAGGCATTCTAGGATTACCATCTATAAGAGAACTACAGGGTGAACTTGTAATGTTAGACAAATTAACAAAAAGGAAACATTAAATTGAAATTTTGGTGGTATTTTGCCTAGCTATCAAAATTCTCAATAAAGGCTACTGAAAATTCAACCTTTGATTTTCTGCTACAGCTCAATTTATTTCTCTGACATCTTGTTTGGATTTTTGGCAGTGCAAAAGGATGGTTTTTGAGTATGGTCCCTTGATCCTCACCAATGCAGAGCAGTTTCTGGAAACAACAGATCTATGCTCAATGTTACACGCCTGTAAAGCTCCTAAAGACGGTGGTGAGCAAGCATCGACAGTGCTGAAGGCTGATTCATGATCATGATGTAAAAGCTCAATTGGAAAGAAAATGCACGTGTTCCAGGTGTGTATAATAATTGTGCTTCTGTTGTAGTTATGGTGTACTGTAATTTCATTACGTGTTTCTAATCATTACGTCCTGTATTATAAAAATCATAGATCTGGAAACTCATTTTTCTGCTCAGAAAAAGTTCTGAATAATTGAATTAGTTTGGTTTTGGTATTTTAGACCTATTATGTTTAAAAGTTCAGGATGCTGGTAGTCTGGTGTACAAAAAAAGAAAAACTGGCACCAGCTTCATTACGTTGCATTGTTGGCTTACTCCATTAGTAACTTTATTTTTTCCATTAGAAATTCTATTTTGGAGACCCTTTCCTTTCCTTTTCTTTTTTTCCTTTCCTTGTGATGGGCCTTTTACTAGTAGAAACAATTAAGTTACATGGTGTTACCTTTTACTAGTAGAAACCATAAAGTTAAATGGAGTTGCGGATGTTTTCATTCTCCAATTTGGAATAAACTCGAACCATGGTAAATAGACTAGCATGGTACAACGACCAAGGATTTTTCTTAGGACGGTCGAGGCGACATGTAGTCTTGGATCTTAGCCGTGTGAGGTTCGTCACGCCTGATTTACAGGGATGGGTAGGATTTGACTATACAGCGGATTCAGTATTCAGTGCAGCCCACACGTTCTTGGAATTTTCCAATTAGTAAGAGGGAAGAACTAGTATCAGCCCGTGTTTATCTACGAAGAATAAAGCATGTTTTACGTTCTTTAGGTCTTTCAACATAATTTGGACTAAGGTAGTGGAAGTGACACGTTATCCTTGAAGTTTCGTTGTTTCCTTATCCAAGCTGATTTTCTCTTGGCGTGTTTTGGCCATGCCAAATATGATCAGTTTTCTCTGGAGGAAGCTGTGATTTTTAGTGAGGGGGTTTACCACGTACACCACAATATGAAAACATAAATCTAACCTTCTTCACAATTTTCTTCTCTTAATGCTTTTCTCAATATTACTTTTTTGGACTGAAAAGGAAGTGTTATGTAGTTTCACAAGGGCTAAGCTCCCATCTAGAACTCCTCGTATTCTCCTCTTGTTACAGCCTTTCACTAAAACGTATTACAAATGCAAAAGGGTCATTGGGTAGTCAAGAACTTGTAGCCAAAAAGTTCCCGATTGTTAAAAGGGTCATTTTCTACCTAGTGGGATCATCCTTAAGTATCACATAATCTCCAAGGTGCAGGCTTTTTTCTTTTTTTTTTAATCATGATCCAAGGTGTAGACTAGAATCACTAGATGATTAAAATAGTTTGTTTTCTTTATTAACTTCTTGAATTCAATGTCCAAACCTTAAGACCAGCACTTGAAAAAAAAAATCAATATATCATGTGTCGGCACAGAATATGCTTTTTTAAAATCATTATATATATATATATATATATATATATATAAACTTTACGTAGAAATTAATTTGAAGATATCTCTAACGATGAAAATAAAAGCATAAATAGGTCCCGTTTGTGTCATGATGCCTCCAGAAAGATCATAGCCAAAGGAGTTGCAACAACCTCAAGTCATCTCTTGTCTTTTGGCCACACAACACAATCCAATCAGCTATAAAACAAATTAGGGGTGGAATGAGAGTTACATGCCAAATAGGTACGGAAGAATTCCTATAATCAAGCCAAAGATGTACTGATTTTATGCTTTTGTATCCTACATCTTAATAATTCTGCATATAAGCGTACGATGCTGCTAGCTTAATGCATTTGATTGATGCACTAAATGCTTAAATTGGGCTCTTGCAGATAGTAACCCTTTTGGTTCTTTGCCATTCACGTTTTGGCCTGGTTAAAAACTTTTATGGGTATCTCTATTCTTAATTTTATTTTAGTCTTAATTTTATTTTTATTTTAAAGATAAATATATGTATTTATCCTTATATAATACTCATTGTTTCTCAACTCGTTTCTAAATTTTTAATTACATCTCATTTGTTCTTAAAAGTATTTGAAATATTTAATTTGTCATTTTAATCAATTTTTACGATCGCATAAAATTTTTTTAATCAAAATACTCCTTATTGAAATATCAAAACAAAAAAAAAAATCTAAATATTTCAAAAATAAAACATATAGGTGATCATGTGACTTTAAGTGTTTTTTTTTTTTTGTGTTTTTTAATAAAGGAAATTTCGGTTAAAAAAAATTATATTCGAAAAATTTAATCGGAATAACAGATTGAACATTTCAAAATTTTTGAAAAACAGATGAGATACGAAAATCTAGAGACAAATGGATATATTTACCTTGATTTTTATTTGTTTTTATTGGATATATACTTAAAGTCCAACACAAGAGTGATCTTAGCTAAACCTATTAAAAAAATAAATAGAAAAATGATAAAATAACAAAAAGACAACATTGAATTTGGGGGAAAAAAAGATCAAATTATGTAGTGTATGCATGTGTATTGTGTCGTGACGAAAAGGAAAAAGGAAAGTTACTTTTTCCTTCTCTGTTTATTTGTTTTGCCGACGTATGAGTGTATATAGGGAAGATTTGCCCTTTCTACGGCATAGTGGAAGAGAAAAGGAAAGAGAGCAACAAAGAGAGAAACAAGATTTTTTTTTTTTCCTTGAATTGCTATAATAAGGAAGAAAAAAAATTATGCACAAAATTGTTGGGGTTCTCTTTAGCATTAATTTTTTAGGTATTATAATCACAAAAAATTACAACATTTGAGGTAGTGATTTTACACAACATTAAGTTTTATAAAAATATGAAGATTTGCAGATTTTAGATTTTGGTAGTGAAATGGATTTAATTAGAGAGGTAAATTATATTACTATTAATATTTTTGCATCGCAAGTTCACAGAAAAATTTGAGCAATTGTATTGCTTTCTTAATTGTAATTGATTATTTTGGAGTTAGTTCAATGACCTTTTTTTTTCTCAATAAAATAAATTTGGTATTTTGTGATTAATTTATTTTGTTCTCTTGATTATCGTGTGCATTTGGCTTGATTATCTTCTCATAAAATCTAATTTACAAAGAATGTGATTAAATTTTCAATAATGATATCGAGTTTTGGTTGAAATTTTTTATAAAATAGATGGAGAAAAATAATTCGAGAACCACAATCAAATTGATGACTTCTAATTATTCAATTTGAAAGTTAAAGATAGAGGATTTACTTTATTACCATAACTTATTTAATTCGATTGAATTAAATAAAGCCAAACCATCTTCCAAGACTCGATGATACTTGAAAAATGGAATATAAAAAAGCTATTGGAGCTATTAGACAATGTGTAGACGATATCGTATTTTATCATGTATCTAAAAAGATAAATGCCCAAGAACTATGAGAAAAATTAAAGAGTACGTGTGAAAGAAAGACTATATAGAATAAAAAAGCTTGTGAGCTTAAAATACCAAGATGAAAGGTCTATTTCTAAACACTTGAATGGCTTTCGGGATTTGATTAGTCAATTGATAATTATGAAAATAGTACTAGATAATGAGTTACAAGTACTATTGCTTTTCGAATTTTGCCAAACAAGTTGGAAGACTTTGGCGGTGAAACTTGATAATTTCGCTTTAAATGGTGGTTTTTTTGTCACTTTTTATGATTAAAGATAGCTTGTTCAATGAATAAACAAGATGAAACGAAGTGTTAGTAGATGAAACACAAGCTTGTGTCAAAAAAAAAAAAAAAAAAAACAAGGTAAGGAGTAAGAAATAGAGAATTTAATGGGTTTGATAAATTTAGAGATAGATTACAATCTAGTGGCGAGTTTTAAATATTATCATTGTGAAAGAAAAGTTCACATCAAGAGAAATTGCAATGTATGGAAGAAATAAAGAAGTAGGAAGAAGATAATCGAACACCATTGTAGTATTAACTTCGTATTGAGATGTAGCGATACTCTCATATTAAGAAGATAAGTGTAATGTTGCAGATTCTTGTATTGAATGGATTGCTAAATTAGCAATTGCATATCATGCTATTCTTCAAAGAAAAAAAATTCTTTATTGTGTACAAGGCAAAAGACTTTGACAAAGCAAAGATGAGTGACACTAGTTATGCTAGTGTTTTAAGAGTTGGTGATGTGTGTATAAAATCATGTACATGTTGTATTCTAATTTTGACGCATGTGTTAGATGTACCATAGCTACGTCGAAATTTGATTTCTACTCGTGTGTTGGACATTACTGGATGCTACAATTATTTTGATAGTAAAAGATGAAAACTCATCAAGAGATCAACGGTGTTGCTAGAGGTAATTTTTATAATAAATTATACATGACATAAGTATAATTGATCAAACCTAAAAAGAGTGTAGTTGGATATAAAAATTCTCTAAAATTATGGTCTAAATAGTAGACTTAAGTGAATGAAAAAGGATTGGAAAAAATTGCCTTGCGTTACATTTGTCAAAGAGATAGCCATATACAATGGAACACTAAATGAAGAATATAGAATTGATATTGATGCAACAATTGGTGATGATGATGGTATGGATACGAGAAATGCCGAGTAGGGGAAGCAAAACCCTCCACTTCGAATATAAAGCCTTAAGTGAGCGAGTGTCTATTAGTCAATACTATTTTTTTATATTAAAAATTGTATTTCTAATGTCTTGTTAATGGATGAGAGAGAGCTAAATAACTTTCGTACTATTCTGATTTTTAATATGGGTTAGGAATCAAAGGTTAATAATTGATGATGTCATTGATTTTTTGAGGTAATGAAAAAAAGAATGATGATGTTGAAAATGATTCTCCAATATAAAGATCTAGCTGATATATCAACAAAATTGATAGCATGCGAGAAGAGTGAATTATGTATCTATATGGTTGGTATTATCCTTAGACGATGAGTTCAATTTATCCTTTATGGCTAGAGGGGAAGATTTGTTGGATACATGCTTAAGATCAAGCCCAAGAGTGATCTTAACTCAACCCATTAATAAATTAAATTAAAAAAGAATGACCAAATTGTGTAGTGTG